TTTAGCCGTCAGCCTTTTTGGTGTCGGGATTTTGGATGCCGAGATTTTCGCTGCCAGGATTTTATCAGTGGGCATTCCGGCTGTCGGTATTTGGCTGTCGGTATTTGTTTGGATTCTCGATGCCCGCATCAGCCCTTTTGACTTCCTAGCGCCTTTAAAGAGACTATAAGGCTTTTTAAAGCATATATTTGAAACGTGACCGATTCATCAGATCTGTTTCCAGGCCCGCCACTGTCCAATCAACCCCGTCATCGACCTACCGCCAAATGGTACATCGTCAACGGACTGCCAATGCACCCCTCCGCCTCCATCCCATCGACGGACGTCGTTCTCGCGGATACCCCGCGAGGCGATCATCTCCACCTCGGATTTGCTCTATCTCCCGCATTTCATCTCAGCTGTCACGGGTCTTTTTGTGCTTTCCAGATAGTTAAGTATTTTGGAAATAAATGGATAAAATTTGGAATTTAACAAATGCACGATGTTGATCAAAAAAACCATTTTCCCTGTTTTGGAATGTCCATTTTAACAAGTGAGGTAACTCTCAGTGGGGAGTCAGAGAAAGTTCCCCGGAATGGGCATGGAATCTCGGGAACAATCCAGGGAAATCGAGAAAGAAAGAAAGAAAGAAAGAGAGAGAGAGAGAGAGAGAGAGAGAGAGAGAGAGAGAGAGAGAGAGAGAGAGATGCATGTTCGCCCACCGCCCATTGTCCAGAAAAGGGAGAGATCACCCCGGGAAAAGCGGGAAGAAAAGCTCGTTATAAATGGGCCGCATCCCCCCGCGTGGATTCTCCTCGGCTCCACAACCCTCCTCTGGCCAAGGTCGTAGGGGACATGGAAATTGCGAATTTCGTGGAGTTTCGATGTTTACAGCCCATTCTTCGGATAATCTGTATGCAAAGTGCATGAGGAGAATCGGTGACGCAAGAAAACAAGACGATTTTAGGCAAATTTTCTCCTGGAAAATTTGCGGAAAGAGGAAAACGTCACAAAGGTAAAATTGTGGTAATAAAGAGGACTAGCTTATCTATTTGTTGGCTTAACATTTAAAGTTTTTAATGTCGTTTTTGCTATGCAAATTATAAAATAAAACTTTAAGCCAAAAACCAAGAAAATCATAAATTTGTGGTTTGAAAATAAACATAAATTGTTTTTTTTTTACGACAAATTGACTAAGCTAATTTTCAATAAAAAATCTTTCTTTCTATCAAATAACCTCTGGCTCACTAATTTTTTTCAAGAATTCTTTCATTTTGCACCTGAGCCACCGTACGCCATCGGGTGCTTTTGCATTATCGGGGGGGGGGCAACTATTTTTTTGGGATCCATTCTTTCTCATCGAAATTGAGAAAAAGATTCTAATATGTTTTTACTATTGCTCAACGTAAAAAATGGACAAAAATTACAGATTTTTGCGAAAAAATGCAGAAAAATAGAGGTTTTCGAGCCAAATTTAATTTTTTTGCATTTTAGATAGATTTTCCTCCTGAACTATAGTAAAATCAGACTAGGGGCACTAATAAAAATCCTAATAGTATATTTTTTAGACATTTCTGGACATATAGGAACGCCACCGTACTCCCCGTACTCCAACGCACTTCACCGTACTTCTGCGTACTCCACCGTGTTCGATCGCACTCCACCGTACTTCACCTTACTCCACATTCCTCCACGTAGTCCACCGTACTCCCCCGTACCGCATCGTACTCCACCGTACTCCCCCGTACTCCACCGTGCTCCGTCGTATTCCCCCCGCACCATCCGGTTTGGCTTATCGGGCGAGCCCAACCTGAAATCCGCGGATTTGTCAATCGCCCGGATACGGTTGAGGGATTTTTGGAGGTATGAATGGCGGATTGAGATGGCCGGTCCCTCCCCTTTCACTCGCCAAATATTCGAGACCGCCCTCCCCCTCAATTCCCTTCGTGCTCCTCTTTTTCCCTCACGCTCATTCCCATCCACAACCAAATACAACTTGCCCATCTTCACCCCGCCCTCAAATACCAGTTCCTCCAACACCTCCGCTACCACTTCAACGGGCACAGCAAGAGTGTCTTCGTCGGCTACATTCGGCTACTAACAACGCACCGGGTTACTGTAGGCTGCGCTACGATACGCTACGATACGACGATGCGCAATTTGATAGGTGAGGCAGTATCTTAGAGTTTTATGGGATTTTTTGGTGTTGGTGCATTAGCGGGGGGGAAGCTTATTGAGGCCACTTAATCTCTAACTCATAGGATACATTTTAGCTGGAGCTTTTGCATTATCAGGGGGACGCCCAGTTTTTCCAACGAGATTAGAAAAGCCTAGTAACGTAAGATTAAGTATTGAAATACTTTTTTTTGCAAGATGTAGACATTTTTAGTTGGAAAAATTACTTACAAAACCGTATTTGGTCGACAAAATCGATATTTTTGTATTTTAGAGAACACTTTGATAGGAAAAAGCTTATAAAAATTCCCCTGTAGTTATAATAAATGAAATTGAACTTTAAGGAGAAAAAATCATTTTTCTCTAACCCCCGATAATGCGAAAGCACCAGTATTTTCTAAAATTAGAAAAAGCAAAACTTTCGAAGTGTCGAGTTTTTTTTTAGTGGGGCCAGACTTAGGTCGCACCCCCAAAGCCGCCCCCGCTAACGCACTGTTTCTAGTGTTCTGCACCCTCGTCGGAGTTACCGTGGCTGCGGGCGGGATGGCCGAGCTGAAGTCGATCACAGGCGATGCACCGTATCAGGGGGCTGGTGAGGAGAACGACGCTCTTTTCCAAGGGGCACGCTTTAGGGAACGCGCCGGCGATGATGCCACAGCCGATGGGCTTCTGGGGTCGGCCACGGTATTATGGTGGGAATTATGGGTACGGCAGCCAGGGGATGCCAATGATGGGAGGCAAGTTTTGCTGGCTTTCACTTACAGTTTAAACGATTAAAAATCCGCCTGTAGGCACGAAAATATGATTTTTTCGCTCTTTCTAGCGCGTTCTCTCTCTCGCTCGCTCGCTCTCTCACTCTCTCCCTCACCACCCTCTTTCTCTCTCGCTCTCTCTTTCTCGCTCTCTCTCCCTACCTCGCTCTCTCTCTCGCTCTCTCTATCTTTTTCACGCCCCGGCTCATAGTTCAAAGTATGGATAATCTGAATAACTCCAATTTTGGTTACGCGATGAAAAGCTGTCGGCTAAAGTGCGCGCTTTCAGGCGGTGGCGGCTGGCACCCGGGTATGGGCTGGATGAACGGGGACGGCGGACGGTTCACGTCGTCCAGCGGTGGCCCCTATGGTCTGTAAGTGGCTATTCGCGTACTAACCATAACATATAACGATCTACAGACAGGAATTTGGCTTTGGCGGGCGTGTTTGGGTGGTGGACCGGGTCTAAAATTACAGAAAATTGGTGTCACTCCTCCAATGAGTGCCCTGGGGTCGTAACAGATCCCTGGGGAGGACCGGCGCCCGTATAAAAGGGGCCACTAGGGCCCCCAGCTTCACTTCACTCTACTACCCTTCCCCGATTTACATTCATTTCGCCGAATTTTCATATCGCCGAATTTTCATATCACCGAATTTTCATATCGCCGAATTTTCATATCGCCGAATTTTCATTTCTGGAATTTTTTTTTCGCCGAATGTGTATTTCGTCTAAAGTTTATTGCACAAAGCTTCATTCGGCCGGTTTTTCGTAGCCCGTTATCTAGCGAACAATAAAAGATAGCTTAGCTGGCCTCTTCTTCAGGAATAGGTCGACGCAAACATCAGTGCCGCTGTTTTCAACGAAGGTAAAGTTATCTTCTTGATGCTCCGACAAAATCATGTGGCAGGCGGAGCAAAATATTGTAAATTCCAAGGTCTCCAACATAGATTTTCATACATAATTCGGCGAAATGAACATTCGGCGAAATGAAAATTCGGCGATATGAAAATTCGGCGATATGAAAATTCGGCGATATGAAAATTCGGCGATATGAAAATTCGGCGATATGAAAATTCGGCGATATGAAAATTCGGCGATATGAAAATTCGGCGATATGAAAATTCGGCGATATGAAAATTCGGCGATATGAAGATTCACCCCCTTCCCCTTACCTTGAGCTCGCTTGGTTGCTGCGCCTTTTCTTAGGACAGCTACCTAGAGCTCGAGGCTTGAAGGTTGTATCAGTGTATTCAGCTAGTAAATCCTAAGTGATTATACCGTAGCCTTGCACCCTCCGCTTAAAGTACATCCAAATCCACTGAACACTTAGACCGACTCTAATACAGGTGCAACAATTGGCTTCGAAAGGTTATAAGGTTTTTTAAAGAATTCTTAACGAGGTCTGACACTTTTCCATAGTTTTTTAGGGCTTAAGTACGTCGTAGATTTGGTGACACATCATTGTAGCCACTCTCCGTGGCGTTCTTAAGTACACCCTCAAGCCGTTAGAGGGCGTAAAGAGAGGCTGAAAACTTGTTTTAGCTACCGTTCAGGGGTCTTGGAATTTAGGATTTTATGCCGACGTTGAGCAGCTACTAGTTTCGTGCACCAGCCGGCCACCGAACGCCAGCTCATAAATTAGATCATTCTAACCTGCACTCTAACGATAAATTACCTAAATCTGGTTCTTTTTCATTACCAGGGGGGGGGGGCGGATTTTGTCCTTAAAAATCCGATTTAGGCCTGAAGTGTACCAGCAGGGATTTTAATCGCTGTTGATCAAATTCGGCGTTATTTCATTTAGAAAAACACGGAAAACTTAGCCGGCCGAAAATTGAGTTTTTGCACTTTTAGTGACATTCGTAAATTTTTGAAACTTATGTACATATAGCGCGAAACGGTATGGAAAGACTATCTCGACTTTATTAGGGGAATTAGATCTTAGCCCCCCCCCCGATAATGGAAAAGAGCCCTAAACTCTGATGCATTTCGTGAAAACGTAGCAAGGCGATGAAAAAACGGAAATTGTTGAAATTTCTATCAATATTCAAAGGTTTTAAGTATGACAATTATTTCCAGGTCGGCCTGGCCCTATGGATTTCGGCGATGAGGGACCGATGATGGGCGGAGGCGGCGGAGGAGTTGAGGGGATGGAGCGCGAGAATCTGATGCTCGGCGCGCTCACCGTGCTCGGCAACCTGATCAACCCGTCGGCCGATGCTGGTGGGGTTGCGGTGGCCCGGGGTGTCCCGCAGCGATCATCGCCGATCGTCGACAACTCCAGGGTGTCGCTGGCCGAGGCGACGGGCGGCGGATTCTACAAGGGCCGTGGAAATAGCTAAAGTTTAAAAATAGTCTTAAAAAGCTCGAAAATTGTGTCGAAAATTGAATACTGTAACGCCTCTAATATTAACCTCCTCCGCTCCATTATACCCCCCGTTAGTAGAAAAGTGCCAAAATTGGGTGCGAAAATTCAAAACTACGCATAACAGTCATTCCAAGCTGTAAATATCGTCAAAATCGGCCAAATTTGCCATTAAGATGTTGTAAAAATTTTTAAATTTCGATTTTTCTTAAAACCTAATTTTTCCAAATTTTGAAACAAAGTTGAAAATATGTCCTTTTTTATTACAGGGCATACGGCGTTTTTTATCAGGAAAATCTGACTTTTTCTACCAGAAAGTTGTTAACTTCCCCGATACCTCAACGTTTAAAAAACCCCAATTTTTATTGATTTCACGCCCTTTATTGATTTCGCAGTCTATTTGTCCATATACGTGTCTGTTCCTATGCTTTATTTGTGCCTTAAAAAATGTATATATGGAGTAGGCAAAAATCCCGAAAACCAAAATACCGACGGGCCGAAATCCCGGCAAGCCGAAATACCGACAATCCAAAAGACCGACGACCAACTAGTCGGAATGCGGGCATTGATTGTCGGCATTTTCGCTGTCGGCATCAGAACTGTCTGAATTCTTGCCTGTCGGCATTATGATTGTCGGCATTATAGCCTGTCGGCATTTTAACTGTCGTGGTTTTGACGTTTTCCCGTAAGGATAATACCCCCAAATATGCAAATTCTCATGCCCGAATCTACCAATGTACGTTGTGATTGCTTTAACTGCATTTTAGAATAATAAAAAGTGCGAAAAATACATATAGCACTTTATTGCAGGGCCAAGAAAAGCACATGGTGAAAGCAACGAATACAGACGCGGCGGGGGGGGCACATTTTAATTTTTTGCCTGAACAACTGCTAGTAGATTCGGGGGGCGTCGAAATGTTGTCCGGGAGATCGCGTTGCGGATTTTTTTCTTATAGAAATTCGAAATGCTTCAAAAATTGATAAGACCCAGCAAGGTGAGACGTCTTTTCTGGGTACTGGTGCGTTAGCGGGGGGAGTGGGGGTAATAATTTTTCTATATTCCAGGAAGCGCAACTTGCTATGAAAAAGCCATCCAAAACTTCACAAAAAATTAGAAAAATGATTTATTTTTAGTCTGTAAAGAAAATTACCCCTCCCCCGCTAACGCACCAGTACCCGGAGGCTTGACTTTCGTAAACAGCAGCTTCGTTGCATAATTAAATTACAGTAACACCGGACGACCGTGAACGTAGAGAAATATGTGTATTAAAGGGGGCTAAAAAGGGGGTAATTTTGGCTGATTTTGGCACCCGTTGACATCAGGTAAAAGGTGGGGGGATAGCGGTGAGAAGTAGATGGAATCGGGGAAAACTAACGAAAAAAAATAAGTTTGGCTTTTCTTTACAAGGCACTCAAACATCGTGTTGTTTTGGCAATCTAGGGTTGGCACTCAATTTTGACGGGGAGCATCAGCAGCGGTAGCCGCGGGCCAGTGGGTGAGCAGACTGAAAGGCTTTAATTTGCACAAAAATGACATTTTAATAAATTTATCTTTTTATTTTTAAAATATTATTTATGTATAATAGCTATAAATCAACTTTAATTCTTTAATTTTAAAGGTCCCTGGCGTTTAGCGGGTTTAACGATATTTTTCTAGTAATCCTATACAGCAATACAAAACGCTTTTGTGGCATTTTACACAGCTTTTTGGGGATAAAAACAGATGCGAACAACTTCATTTTCGAAAATTTTTGAATTTTTGGTTAAAAAATGCATTAAAAAGGAAAAAAGGTCAAAAATGTTAAAAATTTGTTATTGTTATTCATCATTTTATTTGGTGTTGGTTTTAAGATGTCCGCGACCAACCTTATAACTGAAGGTCATGTTCGTCGAGTAGATGACCCCGTCATCACGGACAAGCGAGATCGGCACCTGAAAAAACGGGGGTTTCCGTGTACAGGGTGTACTCGATAGTCAAAATCGGACGCTTGTAGAGAGAGAGAGAGAGAGAGAGAGAGAGAGAGAGAGACAGAAAGTGAGAGAGAGACAGAAAGTCAGAGATAGATAGAGAGAGAAAGAGAGGGAGAGGGGAGAGCCTCACACTCACATCAAACATGTCGCCATCGGCGAAATCCTCGCGAATCACGGCCAGCGACGGGACGATGCACGTCAACGATTCGTCAGAACTGGAAAAAGCGCGGTATTTCGCCTTTCAGACACATTTTCGAAAATTCCCTTTTAGCAAAAACCCATTTTTGGAAAACGAGAATTTAGACTTTCGTGGTTATGCCGAATAAGAAGGTACGCCCCCCCCCGCTAATGAACCAAAACCGGAATATCAACATTGTGAAATTTCTGAATTTTAATTTCAGCGCATTAAAAACAGCCGGTATCACCCTCAAAAACGCACCGGAACAAGGTATCAACGGGTGTGCTCCCGAACCAGATCTTCATGTTCTGCCGGAAGTTGACGCCCTGCAGCTCGATGCGCGGGCTCTCGTGGCCGCCCTGCATCATGTCCAGCGAGGTCACCACCGGCACCGGGGTCACCACGTCGCGCACCGGGCCCATTGCCTCGTAGAACGCGTACTCGGCCTGGAAGAAAAAAAAGAGAGAAAATGAAGAAAAAAGAAAATTCCTACCTTTTCCGTGGAAATGATCGTCCACGCCGCCCCGTCGTTGATCTGATGGTGATGCTCATCGGTTCGGGTGGCCTGGAAAATTTTCAATATTCCGAAAAGCTACAAAATTACGCACCTGATGCTGGATGATCTTGTCGTGGTTGAGGCAGAGGTAGACGAGCTCGTTGTCCACCATCTGGAAGGCGCACTTGTGCAGCTGCGAAACCGGCTCCTCCACGCCGACGTCGAGCTGGACGAGCTGTTTGTCGACCTTCCGGATGCGCAGCTTTGGAAGCGCAATCCCGGTGACGGAATCGACCAGCTTGACGACGGCCCCGTAGTAGATGTACCCGTCTTTCACGTTGAAATCGGCCGACTCGGCGGTGGACGGGTCGTCGTTGTCTAGAAAAATAAGAATAGAAATATATAGGTGCTTTTGCATTATCGGGGGCGGGCAAACTTTTTTAGGGTCCAGTTTATCTAGATAAATACGTAAAGAGTTTTTATACTTTTAAGATTCTTGGACACAAAAATTTTACAATTTTTTACTAAAAAACGCAAAAAACCCGATTTTGACAAAAACTTCTATTCTTTTAAAGTTTTTAGACCTTTTTCCCTTTGAAATATCGTTAAATTTGATAAAAATAGCATTAAAATTGTCACTATTCCGTAAACAATTCTGGACTTATAAAAAAATCATCGGTCCCCCCGATAATGCACAAGAATCTAAGTCTATAATAAAGTATGTTATATGGTATATTTTAAATCTTATAAGCTGTGTTAATTAAAAACCCCAGTTTAAACTTAAAACTCACACAAATGGATCGTGAACGCGCCCCATTTTGACGACGACGCGTGGAAGGCCCCGTTCTCGACGTGGAGGTAGCGTGTGGAGACCGTTTGGGAGCGCAACCGATTGAACAGCGCTACCTGGACGGAAATAATAAAAATAATTAAACAATAATCAAATGGAAATAATCAAAATAAAAAATTCGGAAGAGAATAAAAAATACCTTTGTCCCCGAGGCGATGCACAAATACTTGCAGTCCGTGTTCTTCATCGACTGCTTTTTCTTTGACGGCTTGCTGATCACCTAGAAAGTTGGGATTTAGATTTTATTCGATAATTCTCTATGGAGAATGCGACACTTCTACCGTAATGTCAAAATTAATAATGCCGAAATTCATGCTGTCGAAATTTTAAAATGCCGATTTTTTCGGGAGTAATTCGGCTTTTTCCAGGAGCTTTTTATGTAAATATCGACACCCTGAAATTTCGGCATTCTGAAAGTAACGCAACTACGAACCTTAATCCTCTGGCTGGCAAAGTTGCCAATCTGATGGTGACACCCGTAGAAGAAGGCGACGTTCAGCTCAAAGTACTTGCGCTTGTCGGCGTCGGAGATGTACAGCGTTTTCGCTGCGCAGTAGTCCTAGGAAGACCCGATCAATTTTAAAATATTTCAGAATTAAAGAAAAGAATTTCAGGTCTTGTGCAATATCGAGGGGGGGGGAATCTTTTACAGAATTCCGCAAATTTAAAGGGATGCCGACGGCATAGTCAATCGGTTACGCGCGGAAGAGAAAATGTCTCTACACCTCTCCCCAGGGCGCGCTCTCTCCCCTGTTGGCTACTTGCCAATTTGTTGATGGGGGGGGGGGATCGACACATGCCGTCGGCAGCCCTTTAAGTACTTTAATCGGTTCTTTTGCATTTAAATATTTTTACGCGAAGCGCCTATTAACGTTTTAACGTAGGTTGTTAATCGTGTTTTTAGTAATTTTTGACTATATTTAAAATAGAATACTATACAAAAAATCTCGAATTTTCAAAATTTTTTCGTGTATTCGCAATTTTGGTCGAAACTTTTTTTTTTCGCAAAAAGTCGTAAGGTGTTGACGATAATAAACACCAAAAAAAACAGCTTAGAATAACGAAAATCTCCGCTCTTACCTTTTCCATTCGTAAAATCGAGGGCCTGACGGTCTTGTTCTGAGGAGCCGCCGATGCCAATGTAGGACACCAACTCCGCCGCCTAAATTTAGGGATGCAAGAGCATTAATTTTGGTAGAACCTGCTCTTCCTGTTGTTTCTCTTGTTCAGCTGTGTATTCGGGGAGTTGATTGGCACGTTTTTGATGCAACTAAAAGCAATTTGCTATCATGGTGTCGAAATTTCGTAATGTTGAAATGTGTTTATATGTCGATGTTTGTGCATTGTATTTGGGTTATTTCTCGGGTGATCTTTTCATGTAAATTTTGAAAATTTGTAAGGAAAAAGACTAAATGCGTTGAAAAAAATCCAACTACGAGCTTTTTATGCAAAAGCAAAAAACCACGTCACGGCTGTGGG